GAGGGAAAGGAGAGCAGGCCAAGGGATGGGAGGGGAGGGGAGGAGGCAACGCATGACGAGGAACACAGCAACCAATCAACGACGCGCTTGAAGTACCGCGCGCAGGGCGTATAGAGCTGCACGGAGCGCAGAACAGAACCAAGATGTGCAGTGCGCACGCTGGGCACAGCACGTACGACGTACTGCTGCGGACAAGCGCGCGGCATGCAGGGTAGCAATGATGCGGCACGTGCGGAACAAAAAGAACTCGGCGCAACCCCAATGGTGGGAACGCCTCCTTAACGGCATTGCTTAGCAGTGCTTGGCGTTGGTTGGTATCGCACGGCATTGCATTGCATTGCTTGGCTTTGCTTGGCATTGCTTGGCGTCGCTTGGCATTGCTTTGCAGTCATTGGCATTGATTGGCACTTCTTGTCACTGCTTGGCATGGCTTAGCAGTGCGGCATTGAGTTTCGTTGTTTGACGTTGCGTTGCAGTGCTGGCGTTGCTTTGCATGGCATTGTTTGGCATTGCCTGGCGTGGCGTGGCATTGATTCGCTTGGCTTGGCATCGCGTTGCATCTCTTTGCATCGCGTTGCATTGCTCGACATGGCTTGGCATCTTTGGAATTGCTTGGCGATGCTTAGCACCGCTTGGTACTATTGCTTGGCATCGCTGGGCATTGGTCGGTATTTATATGTGCATTGCTTCGAAGATGACAAACAAAAACAAGACCAGGGGACCAGGGGAACCCGATGAAGGTCGGCCTTCCGAAACAGTACAATGCGAAAGGGATCTGGGGAACCCAGAGAACCCCGAGGAGCGCGAGGAAGGCTGGCCCTTCAAAAACGCTAAGGAAACAAGATCACAGGGGACCCAGTGAATCGAGGTTTTCCCCGAGGAACGCCACGGTAAGGAAACAAGACTGGGAAACTCCAGGAAGCCCCCTTGTCAGGAGACAAGACAGGGGAACCCCAGGGAACCTGGCGACGACCAGGTCAGGTACCATCCGGTTTCCACAACAGGTCAGAACTCCAAAGACAACCTTATGAAACGGCCATCTCCTCCTCACTTCCCCCCCCCTCGCCCACCGCCAAAAAATTATCCTGGCGAAGGGCCCAACCATACGCAATTCCGAATGCCGCCGTTGTAAGTATCGTCGTTGGTGGAACACCCGATGGGGTCACGAAGCGTGTGAGAGGTGCGCCAAATGGAGGTGGAACTGCATGCGGACCCTGCCACTGGGGCCTTCGGTGGAGCACCCTGTGGGGCCGCGAAACGTGTGAGGGGTGCGCCGAAATGGAGGTGGAACTGCATGCGGACCCTGCCATTGGCGCCCTCGGTGGAGCTCCCTATGGGGCCGCGAAACGTGTGAGGGGTGCGCCGAAATGGAGGTGGAACTGCATGCGGACCCTGCCACTTGGGCCTTAGGCGGAGCTCTCTATGGGGCCACGAAACGTGTGAGGGGTGTGCCGAAATGGAGGTGGAACTGCATGCGGACCGTGCCACTTGGGCCTTAGGCGGGGCTCCCTATGACGCCACGAAACGTGTGAGGGGTGCGCCGAAATGGAAGTGGAACTGCATGCGGACCCTGCCACTTAGGCCTTAGGCGGAGCTCCCTATGGGGCCACGAAACGTGTGAGGGGTGCGCCGAAATGGAGGTGGAACTGCATGCGGACCCTGCCACTGGGGCCTCAGCTCCCTATGGGGCCACGAAACGTGTGAGGGGTGCGCCGAAATGGAGGTGGAACCGCATGCGGACCCTGGGGCCTTCGGTGGAGCTCCCTATGGGGCCACGAAACGTGTGAGGGGTGCGCCGAAATGGAGGTGGAACCGCATGCGGACCCTGACACTTGGGCCTTCGGTGGAGCTCCCTATGGGGCCACGAAACGTGTGAGGGGTGCGCCGAAATGGAGGTGGAACCGCATGCGGACCCTGACACTTGGGCCTTCGGTGGAGCTCCCTATGGGGCCACGAAACGTGTGAGGGGTGCGCCGAAATGGAGGTGGAACCGCATGCGGACCCTGACACTTGGGCCTTCGGTGGAGCTCCCTATGGGGCCACGAAACGTGTGAGGGGTGCGCCGAAATGGAGGTGGAACCGCATGCGGACCCTGACACTGCCTTCGGTTCCTTGAGCTCCCTATGGGGCCACGAACGTGTGAGGGGTGCGCCGAAATGGAGGTGGAACCGCATGCGGACCCTGACACTTGGGCCTTCGGTGGAGCTCCCTATGGGGCCACGAAACGTGTGAGGGGTGCGCCGAAATGGAGGTGGAACCGCATGCGGACCCTGACACTTGGGCCTTCGGTGGAGCTCCCTATGGGGCCACGGAACGTGTGAGGGGTGCGCCGAAATGGAGGTGGAACCGCATGCGGACCTTGCCACTGGGGCCTTCGGTGGAGCTCACTATGGGTCCACGAAACGTGTGGCCATGATGGAGACGGCGATGATGATGACGACGATGGTGATAAGAACGATGATGATGATGATGCTGATGATGACGGTGACGATGACGATGATGATGATGCTGATGATGGAGGAGGAGGAGGAGGAGGAGGAGGAGGAGGAGGAGGAGGAGGAGGAGGAGGAGGAGGAGGAGGAGGGAGGAGGAGGAGAGGAGGAGAGACGCGGGGCACCGTCTCTTCAAAACGAGGACCCAACACCACAGGATGGTTGGGAAAAATGGAACGGAACATCCAATGAAGAAACCCGCCGGCCGCCGCAGGCGCCGATCTCTTCATCCAGGGGGCCACACGCGAACCCTACCCCTACACGATTTCTGAGGGGGAGGGTGGGGTTCGCTTCGCTCGGGAGCTCCCGAACCAAGTGAACTGAAGGGGCCCCAGGACACACAAATAAATACACACAAATAAAAAGATTCCCCATATTTTCTCATGTTTAGGGTTTTTGTTTTCCCCCCCCACTGCCCATGTTTCTGCATATTTTCCTGGGAGTCGACGATTAATTGTGTCTGTGTGTTTTTTCCCCTCCTGATGACCCCCCCCCTCAGAAATCGTGCAGGGGTGGGGTTCGCAGGTGGCCCCCTATTGTCCTTCAACACCGACGCCACCCTAGGGCGCCGCGGCGACGGGCCCCCACGGCGCCGCCGGCCCCCCCCCCCCCCCCCCGAGGGGGCCCCGCGGGACCCCTCCCCCGGCCCCCCACGCGACGGGGCCCCGCGACGGGTCCTCCTCCTCCTCCTCCTCCTCCCTCCCTCCTCCTCCTCCTCCCTCCTCCTCCTCCTCCTCCTCTCTCCCTCCCTCCCTCCCTCCCCTCCCTCCCTCCTCCCTCCCTCCCTCCCTCCTCCCTCCCTCCCTCCCTCCCTCCTCCCTCCCTCCCTCCCTCCCTCCCTCCCCTCCCTCCCTCCCTCCCTCCTCCTCCTCCTCCTCCTCCTCCTCCTCCTCCTCCTCCTCCTCCTCCTTCGGCTAGGCGTAAGAGTGACCCTGGGCAAGAGTGACCTTTGGTGCGCAGCTTTTGGGGGCGCGAGAGAGCCAAACCCACGGGCGCGGGCAGCTTACGTCGCAGCGCGCTCGGCGATCGGGGAGAGCCCGATGAGCCCGCACCAAAGGTCACTCCGGCGAAAGGTCACTCTTACGTCCCCCTCATCGGGCCCCCGCGCGTGCGCGCGGGCCACCCCGGCCCAGCCCCGCAGGGCTCCCCCCCGCCCCCACCGGACGGGAAATGAGAAGAAGAAGAAGAAGAAGAAGAAACAACAAAAAAATGAGCGCAACGACGCCTGCCTGCCCCGAGGCAGCCAGCGCACGACTTGAAATGGACTCGCGTGATCGGAAAGCCCTCACTCCGACGAAAGGGCGTACTGCTGCTATGGACCCCAGACAGTGGATTTTGCACTTAGGGGTTCTTACTTGTCGTACTTGAGTCATTGGATGGGTCAGCCAAGGATTCTCCTGGTGCCCGCCTCGCTGGCGCCTCAAGAGGCGCCTCGTGCGCGGTGGTGGGACCGCCGAGGTTTCGCCCGGTGCCCGCCCGAAGGCGCCTCGTGCGCTTTGTGGGTCAGCCACAGTGCCCGCTCGTGGGCGCCTCGTGGGCGCCTCGTGGGCGCCTCGTGGGCTGGGCGGGTCGGTCGCTTCGTGCTGTGTGATGCGCTTTGCTTTATACCCTGGTTGCGCACGGGACCTGATGCTTCTCCTAAAGCATATCCGCGCCGAGTATCTCCTCGAGAAAGCAAAAGCTAGTCGAAGACCTGGCGGGGCTCCACCTCGCCACTATCATGCACGCCGAGGGGGGGAGGAGAAGGAAAGAGAACAAGCAAGGGGAGGGAAGGGAGGGAGCGCAGAGGGCGTGGCCAAGTCACCACGCCTCGGGCTCTGAGGACGGGGCGGCCGCCCGCAGAGCCCCTCGCCCCGGGGAGCCTTTGCCCCAAAGCGCCTCTGGTGGTCTCGGCCTTGCCCGCGATCCGTCAGCCCCCGCCCCGAACACGGGACAAAAAAACGTCCAGAAGCCCCGATCCTCGGGGAGGCTCGGGGACGCACACTGCGGCCCTCTGCCCGAAGCTCCTCCGGGGGCTCCTGCCGGTGGAGTGATGCTCGCCCTCCTCAGGCACCCCCCCCTCACCCGCCCCGCCAATAGTCGGGGATGGACAGACCTCCCTTTAGTAAAACGTGGTTTAGTGAAAACGACCTCGGGCCCAAACCTGGCGGGCGCAAGCCTGGAAAATAACGGCCGCGGCGCCCTCTCGAGAACCGAAAACGGACAATTCACTAATCGACGTGTCACTGTTAGGAGGTCTGTCCACCCCCGAAATAACCCCGCTCTGAAAAAGCATGTCAGGCCCCCGGGGCCGAGGGCCACCCGCTCCCGGTCGGCTGCTGCCCGGTCCGCTCTCACGACCGGAGGACGGCTCAGATGGCCTCGGTGTCCGCGTTCTGCGCGTTCCCAGGCGTGCTGTCCCCCATGCTGTAGGCCTTGCTCGGGGAGTGCTTCCTGGCGTCCACCCCGACGTCCTTCGGGGGCGGCCAGGAGGGGGGTGTCCACTGGCCATCGCTCGGACGTCCATTCCCTGAGCTTTTTTCGGTTTCGTGGGTGGTTTTTTCGCCGAATGATCAAGGATGCTCCTCGATGGTCCTCGCCGAAGAAAAAATGCACACGCCCGAGCGATGCCAAGGTCCAAGAGGGGGGGGTGCAAATCATGACCGTCGGCATTTGCGCGGCCCAGATGGGGGGGCCAGGGACGTAATGAAGTAAGAGGAGGCGCCATGAAATCTGGGGAAACATCATGGCCCACGCCATGAGATCCAACCCCCCTAGTCATCACCCTCCTCTTTTCCGCCCCCGACGTCCTCTGTCTCCGAGTCGATGCGCAAGCAGCCGGTCAGCTTGAGCAAGAAGAAGACGACGCCGGAGAGGATCCCAGACCAGGCAATTATGACGCCGATCATGATGAGGTGCGCCAGCAGGGCGTCGACAAACAGGCCCTCCGCGCATTCGCCCTCTTCGTTGGTCATGCAGCCGAAGCCGCTCCAGCCGTGGAAGTGGTCATTGCCCCCAAGCGTTCCCATGTCGAAGAAGACCGCGGCGAGCACGCCCCAGATGCCGCAAGCGCCGTGGACTGGGACCGCGTCCACGGGGTCGTCGATCTTGAGCTTGCGGAGCAGCATGGACGCGAGCTGGTACAGGATGGCGCCGATCAGCCCGATCACCACCGCGGAGCCAGCCTCCACGTTGCCGCAGGGCGCGGTGATCGACACGAGGCCCGCCAGGATGCCGTTGCACAGGCCGCCCACGTCGTAGTACCTGTAGATGGCGAAGCGAAGGAAGAAGACCACGATGCCTCCAGTCGCCGCGGCAAGGGTGGTGTTCATGGCCACGTGAGCGGCCAGCAGGCCCGCATCCTGGTCCATTCCGAGGGTGGAGCCGCAGTTGAAGCCGTACCAGCCAAACCACAGGATGAAAGTGCCCAGCACGACGAGAGGCAAATTGTGCGGATCAAAAGCTTCCGGATTCTCCCACCGGCCCTTGCGCGGACCCAGCACAACGGTGCCCGCGAGCCCGCTGATGCCCCCAGTCAAGTGGACGATGCCGCTGCCCGCGAAGTCGATGACGCCGACATCAAACAACATCATGATCCACCCGTAGCCCCAAGTCCACGCGACGACCACAGGATATATGAATCCAGTCATGATGAGGACGTAGAACCCGTATGTGGAGCTGAGCACCCGCTCGGCGACTGCGCCACTGACAATGGTGGCGCCGACGGTGCAGAAGGCCCACTGGAAGAACCAGGCCAGCTGTGTGCCATCAGAGGAATGATTCCCGTCGGGATCCTCGAAGAGATAGTCGTGGGCGAAAAAGCCGTTCAAGCCGATGAAGCCGTTCCCTCCTGCGTCCTCCGCGGGCACATTATCTCCCACGCCATAGGCGAACCCGTACCCTACGGCCCACCACCCGATCGTGCCCAGGCAGACGTTCACGAGGTTCTTCATCAGCACGTTCGACGCGTTCTTGGCCCTGCAGCAGCCCGTCTCCAGCATCGTGAAGCCCGCGTGCATGAACATCACTAGCGCCCCGCACAGGATCATAGGGGAACAAAAAGTGGCATAAACATAAAAACTCGTAGGTCCGCGCGGATTTCTCGGATCGGCGCTGGACCCCCCTCCCTGGCGCGCGGAGCGCGCCAGGGGCGGCGCCGGGGGCGCCGCCGGGGGGCCCCAGCGCCGATCCGAGAAATCCGCGCGGACCTCCGAATTTTTATGTTTATGTCACTTTTTGTTCCCCTAGATCAGCCAGGAGCTGGTCATCGCGCTGACCGTGGCATCCGACGACAGGCGCCTCTCCTCCGCCTCGGCGGCCAGGCGCCTGCCCGCCTCCGCCGCGCGCGCCTCTAGGGGGCCACATGCGAACCCTACCCCTACCCCCCACGATTTCTCAGGGTGAGGGAGGGGTTCACTTCGCTCGGGAGCTCCCGAGCGTAGTGAACCCCACCCTCCCCCTCCGAAATGGTGGGGGGTAGGGGTAGGTTTCGCATGTGGCCCCCTAGCCTCCTCCATCGCACGGCTGCTCTCCAGCTCCGCGTGCAGCTCCGCCGCGTGCACCTCCTCCGCTCGCTGCCTGCTCTCCAGCCCCGCGCGCAGCTCCGCGCGCAGCTCCGCGATCTCCGCGCGGAGGGCCGCAGTGGTGTCGCTGGCCTCCGAGACGGCGGCCGCGCTTGTCGCCAGCGAGAGCGTGAGCAGGCACTTCAGCATCGCCATCGCTCGGAGAGCGCCTGAGGGCGGAGACTGCCGAGGCAGTGAGGGCGCCCGGAGGTCACTGACTGAGTTCCCCCTGGGTCGAAACAGCCTGAGCCAACCAACGCCGAAATGGCTTGAGCCAAAATGGATGCGGTGCTGCTGCTGAGGATGATGATGATGATGATGATGATGATGATGATGATGATGATGATGACGACGATCATCAGCATCAACATCACCATCATCATCACCACCACCATCATCATCATCATCATCATCATCATCAGCATCATCATCATCATCATCAGCGTCATCACCATCATCATCATCAT